TAACTCTGGTCTTTTCAAGGATCACTAGGGTCAGAAAAATTCCATTAATTCTTATCTCTAGTGGGAACGTATTTTCTGGGTACTTCCCATAAGTCTGAAGCTGTTGATTTCATTAGTGGAGTATGATATACCCTGATGGAGGAACACAGGGCAATATGGTGTCTCAGCCATGGGAGACAGGACAGAGCCATCTCATAAAGAATAAAGTCCATTCCCAGAACACAAAGCCATGGGAGAGAGAGCAGCCTTTCAAAGGCACATCTTTAATAAGGTAAGGGTGTGGCACATCTGAAAATCCAATTTCAAAAAGTATCTTGAACCAGAAGACAATGGTTAAGATGGCAATGATTAGAAAAATGCTGTTTAGGAAAAGAAACTCATGAACACACAGGGGAAAGAAAAAGGAAAATAAGATATCAGTCAGGGATTTTAGGCTCAGTCAGGGAGGTCTGTGGGTTACAAGTGACGTGGGGAAAGCAGGAGGCACGCAGAAGGGCCCTAGAAGACTCAGGACCTGCCTAACCCTTGGTCTTGTGTGGTGAGCATTAAGCCCTATGTGACACCTGGCCCTCTGCGACGACAGTATGTATGGTCCTTACTGATTGTCAATCTGCTCCTGCCGTAGTGCTATGCTGCCTTGCTCCTCCAGGAGGTTCTCCCGGGAGGCTGACTGGGCGGGGTCCAATTTCTTCACGTATGCGGCTGGCACAAAACCCTGACGATCATTCACTTCCACTTTCCACCAGTCCTAAGTGGAAAAAATAGAAAGAGAATTGAAAGCAAATTCCTTCCTGGAGAGAGGGAGAATCCACAGAGGCCTGTGTGTGTGCATACATGAGCATGCACACCAAAGAGGGCTCTAATTATTTTAAGAAGCCTGTGACAGTATCAAATTCACTTTACATAAGGCCTGAAAATTCAATCCCTTCCTGATCTCTCTCTGCTTAGATGCTCCAGGGCTGCGCCGTCCAACATGGCAGCCATTAGCTGCATGGGCCTATTCAACTTTCAGTAAGTTAGAATTAAATTCAATAAAAAACTCAGCTGCCCTAGCCGTATTTCACGTTCTTACTATCACATGTGGCTAGTGGATACCATAGGGGCAGCACAGACATACAAAGTTTCGACCATCACAGAAAATTACACTGGACAACTGAATAGAGTTAGATCAGAGGATTGGTTCAGGTTTAAATCAGAGTGAAGAGAAAGACATAAATCACAGGTTTTCTTAAACTTTCATCATGAGGCAAATGGGAAGTGGGAATAAGGAGCTTCCTAACGATGGCCAAGAACGTTTCTCCAGCCTTAACGAAGATGGGAGGCAGGATCCCTCAGGGTTAGTTAGATAATCTGTGGACAACCGTGTTCCTCACTTCGAGGCCACTGTCAAACCAGAATGTGTCAAGGAAGAAGGGCTGAGGAACCAGGTGGTATTTAACTTGGGGTGATGGCACGACTGTCTTCAACTACCTGCTGGGCGGAGGGGTAGCTGTATAGTCTAGATTAAGAACCAACAGGAACAAGTTAGAGAGAAGCAGACTTCAGCTCAAAAGAGAAAGAACTCCACCTAGAGATAATTGATCATAAAAAAGGCTATTCTTGTACTGTGATTCTCTATACTACTTGCAGAAGACCAATTAAAAAAAGACAGATTTACTACCTTTGTGATCATATGCAGTATTGGATAAATGTATATTAAGTGGAAGACTGACCAGGAAACTCTATCTCTTTGAATTCTAAACCAGCCTCATTTTGGGGAGACATAACCACCCAGACACGCAACTGAGCAAACTTGGTGGTGCTGATGTGAAACATACACACAACCACTATCTAAGGCTTGCCTTGTTGGTGCTGTTGAGTAAGGTAAGAATGTCTCCTTTTTTCATGGTGACTTCTCGAGGACTCTTCTCTTGATAGTCATAGAGAGCCAAGACTAGCTCTTTCCCGGTCTCGTCATCCATGGGGGCCACTTGTTGCTGAAAATCCAAAGAAAAGGCAAACACAGTTAAAGGATGTCCACAGTAAGTCCTCTAAGCACACAACAGGCTCCAGCTTGAACAAATAATTTACCAAATTTACCAAATAATATTTTTGACAGTCCTTCACTGAAGCTACCAATAAAATCTGATTCAAGAACTTTATCTGTTTGGTATTTTTTTTAAAATCTCATGTTAAACTGTCTATGAACCTTCCTTTCACAGAGTTAACAATAAAGTCACAAGAATGCTGCCTATGACCCTAACACCTACTAGAAGTATCTGGGTCCCTCACCTCTCCCCATCCCTAGCCCACTCCCCACAAGTCACCCATAACTACAGAAACTACAGCCAAGCTTACCCGGCACGACTGCGCCTGCTCTCGCAAAGCCTGGATGCTGCTGCCGTAGGCACTGAGATCTGACATCAAAGCTTCATGTTTCTTGAGCAGAGCCTGAAACCCAAACCACGCATGCAGCACCCACACAAGAAGCCTAAGCCCCCCACACTTGGCTGCCTCGCCAACATGCCCTCTCCTCGGAGGTCTTTGTCAGTTACACAATGAAGTGACTACCTCCTGCCCTGCATTTTCTCTCCCCTGGATAAAAATCAATGTTTAGAGGCTGGCCAGTTAGCACCGTTAGTTACAGTGCAGTGTTATAACACCAAGGTCAAGGGTTCAGATCCCCATACCAGCCAGCTGGCCCCCCCTCAAAAAAAATAATTTCAGGGAAATATTAATTGTGACTTACAGTATTATCCTTTCCCCTGCTTTTTTTTTTTTGTCTTTTGTCTTTTTCCATGTCCGGCAACGGAACGCAACCCTCAGTGTTGCCCCCGTACCGGACCAGGGACCAGCTACGGGATCGCAACCCTCGGTGTTGCTCCCGTGCCTCGCTCAGCCAGTGAGCGGGAACCGGTCTGTATGTGGGATCCGAACCCTC